TGGTTAGGCCTAACCAGGGCTACTGATCCTGACAGCTTGTAGTCCATCCTCATGTAGAATATTGGTATAAAGTGCTTCTACATGCATGGTGGCCAGGATGGTGTTTCCAGGAAGAATGCATTGTAGTTTCCTCAGGAAGTTGGTGGTGTCTTGAAGATAGCTGGGAGTGCTGGTAGCATAGGGGCTGAGGGGAGAGGCCAAATAGCCAGATAATCCTGCTGTCAGAGTACCACTGCCTGAGATGATGGGGCGTCCAGGGTTTCTGGGTTTATGAATCTTGGGTAGCAGATAGAATACCCCTGGTCGGGGTTCTGCGGGAGTGTCCATGTAGATTTGTTCCCGTACTGTAGCTGGGAGTTTCTTGAGCAGATGGTGTAGTTTCTTTTGGTATTCCTCAGTGGGATCAGAGGATAGTGGCCTGTAGAATGTGGTCTTGGAGAGTTGCCTGGCAGCTTCCTGTTCATAATCTGACCTGTTCATTATGACTACAGCACCTCCTTTGTCAGCCCCTTTGATGATAATGTCAGAGTTGTTTCTGAGGCTGTGGATGGCATTGCATTCTGTACGGCTGAGGTTATGGGACAAGTGATGTTGTTTGTCCACAATTTCAGCCTGTAAACAGAGAGGCTACAATGTACACAAAAGTAAGGAACGCTAGTTGACATAGTTGTCCTCTTCATATACTAGGAAAAAATACCACCATGTCCCAAAGTAGTATGTACTGAAGGGGTTAGGCTAAATTAATGGTGGAAATATCCACATTTATGATGCTCCAGTGTATTCTATGTAATCTCTAGCATCCAAGATTCTATTTTCATCTTTCTTAAAGCATCTACCTATATTTCTGTGATGAATCCTGAGCAACATTTTGGTACTTTTAGAACAGCAGATTAAATATACACTTCATCCTGACAGTCATGTTGGAGTCTAGGTGGACTATAACAACAAAACAGAAAAACTAAAACAATTTCATGGCCTACCTAAAGTAAATTCCTGGAATGATAGATTTTGCTGTAAATGTCAAACTACCATTAAAATATTTGTAACAATATAGAAGGTTAATTCTGTTGATTGCTGTTTGTAAAAGGAGTATGGCTTCTAAGGTATTGTACAATCAGATAAAAAGTCCTAATGCATACTGAAGTACAAAGAAATTACCAGTATTTAAACTGTACCACATACTCTCTAGATCAGTGTGACTACCAGAATACAAACAGCATGTTTTGTGAATAAAATATGTACTATCCATCTGCTTATTGACTGACCTAAATAAAAAAATATGATGACCCACCTCTAATTACTAAATAAAATTTGAGAGGGAATGATGAATTTCAGAAATGGCAAGTGAAAACTTTACAGATAAAAGCAAAGCTACAATTAGCCAAGCCAGTAGACCACACAGAAATGATACAGTGTTCCAACTTGAAGACCAGAGGAAATTAGGGTGCAGCAAGCTAGAGTGTGAACTGACAGCACACTGGTTACTCCACAGTATCTCCCCAAGTGAACGTTCTTGCTATGTACCAAAAGTGCCCTCAGGCAGTTTAGCTTAGTACAAGAGTGTTCACATAAGGAGTTAGTGCAGAGTAACTTGTGAACTGTAAATTCTCACACTGGCTTGCTGCACACCAACTTCCCATGTAGAGAAGCCCTTAGGTTATGTAGCTGCACCTCCTACCAGGTCCAGTTTTGGGCTAGTCACTGCCCCGTTTTTTTCTCACTTAGATTGAACCTCCCAACCTCTCAGCTTGTTTTGGTTGCAGTGATAACTTGCTACAGAGACCTGGCTATTTAGCTAAGTCATTAAAGAAAAAGTGCCTCTTGCAGGATATCCAAGTCCAAAACAAACACGAAAGAGTCTTCTGTCCCTCTAGTCTCAAGCTGGGCCCAGGCACTCCTTGGTCCTTTGAGTCTCTACCAAGCAGCAGCAGCTCCCCATGGGTTCATATCTGGATTCCCCCTTCTCCCCCTCAGGCTCTCCACAGGCTTCTGTCTTATCTCCATCCCAGAACATCTGATTTAGCCACATCACCTATCATGTGACTTAGCTCACACAGATGGAGAAAATAAGTGTTACAGGTAGGTCTGGACCAATCACACTTAAAGGGCAAGTCACCTTGTGACAGGCTATAAGAATTTATTTGAGACACAGACACATGGACACTTTTTGATCATTACAGCTGAATGAACACTACATGAAATTCCATGAAAGTGTGATCTTCACAAGTCAGATACATTTATGGAAGCAAAATCACCACCATGAAACAATAAAGCAAGTTTTTATATGCATTTGATAGCCAAGATAGATCAGTCACTTTATTATTGCTTTAAAGTTATTCCTCCTCACAACTTCTACCATTCTTCACCTGTAGCTGAATGGAAACGGAGAAGATGAAAAAATTCTTTCCTGTCTTCTAAAAATGTGAAAGGAAATATTCTCGTATAGTGTCTAATTTTTTACAATCAAATACCCATTCAACAATGGGAGGATCAAACAAACCAACATCTATCACTAGAAATGGCTTTTAGAAAGGAAGATTTGATAGCCAAATGAGCCCTGAAAGTATTAATCACTAAAACCAAATTCCACTGCTTCACCCAGCATGACAATCTGTGCCAGTTATTTGTGTCACTATACAATATAACAAATACTGTACCAGTAAGAAAATCCTCACTACCAGAGAGGAAATCAGTATTGTCAACCCAAAGCATTCCAAGAGCATTAGTCTGGCCTCCAAAAATTATGACTGTCTTAATCACAACATTTTTAAAAATAATAAATGTTGGTGTCTTTTTAGGTTTTTAACCTTTACTCTGCATCTATGAAAACTAGAAACTTCTTTTTTTTTTAAATGAAAGCTAAGATTTTCACATAGTCACATGACTCCAGAAGTTGGAGATTTAAGATGACACCAAATATCACAAGACTCACAATAAAATGGCAAAGTTTGAAACACTGGGAAATATTAAGTTGTAAGCACAGAGCATTGTGATTGACATAAAACGGGCTGAGAGAAGTAGAGAATGGGTGATATAAATGGCTTTAACTTACATTTGAGTGTTTCTCCAGCATATGGGATATGCAACTTAAACCGATCACAGCTGGGTCCAGGCGTCAAAGAGGTACAGCTAAAAATGAAAACAAGAAAAGGAATTTCTAAACAATAGTGATAGACAGTAACAATGCTTAACAAGATACAAATTAAATGAGCGAGCACTACCCAGATGGTATAGAGAAATTCTTATGGAAAGGCTGACAGTGTCCTGCTTTCCCCACATTTCTGGAAAAACAAAAAGATTAAGTGGGGAGGGAGGAGTAAGCCACAATGCTGGAAGTTCATTCCATTCCATTCAGTCCATCCATAAGTTCACACAAAAATTTGAGACATCTAGACCTGTCCCAATAAACAGCAGTTTCTCTACCAGTCTGAAGCACCAAAGGAAAACAGCTCCCTGATTTGAAACACTTCACAATGACATACTTTAATCAGCCTCCAAACCCACCAACCTCTCTAACTCATGTAGTACAGAAACAGTCAGCTCTCCTTGACTTACTCAACAGTACAACAGACTTGTACTCCCTGTCTCTATCTTTGAAGAAACTGAGATGCAATGGGAATTTAAATGAAGTAAAAATTCACAGCCATTTTTACCCATTTGATAGCTGGGGAAAATAAAACAGAGAGATTAAATGATCTGCCCAAAACCACAGTAAATTAGTGACATAGCTGGGATTAGAAATCAGGTGTTCCAGGTTCCCATTCCCATGGTCTAACAACACTAGTGATTGCACCAAGTTATTTAAGAAAAAAATATTTTAGTGTGTGTGTACAAAATTATTTTTATTACTGTAGCACTTAAAGGCTCCAACTGAGATTGCGTCTTAGTATGCATTTGTAAAGTGCCTAGCACAATAAGTCAGTCCCCTGCTCCAAAGAGCTGGCAGTCTAAACAGACAAGGCAGACAAAAGGTGGGAAAGGAAACAGAGGCCTAGAGAAGTGAAGTGACTTGCCCGAGGTCACACATGAGATCAGTGGTAGAGTCACGAATACAACCCATATCTCCTGAGTCCCAATGCAGTACCCTACTGACCACCTTTTCAAAATGAAAAAACAGGACATATGCAGGAGCCCCACCGCCTCTGTGGCCCTGCCCCCTACTCCTCCTCTTCCCCTGAGACCCCATCCTTGCCAGAGCTGGGCAGTAATAAGAGCCCAAAAGCAGCCCCTGGCCTGTGTCCCAACCCCAAGGGCAGGTGGCGGGTCCAGGACTCCACACAACTGCACAGGCTCCCTGGGCAGCTCTTTGCACTGCCCAGCTCTGGGCCTCGGAGGAAAGAGGAAGAACAGGTGGTGGAGCCTTGTGGCGAGGGAGGGCTAAGGCCCACTCAGACCCCCCCACACACATACCAGGAAGAGGCTGGCACCACCCATGAGCCTTGGGCAGGTGTATAGCAGCACCGCAGGGAATCCAGGACAAGTGTTGTCCCAGTGTCATTCAGCCTGGGATCAGGACTTGAAATGTACATTTCAGGACTGTCCTACCCAATTAGGGATGGATGGTCACCCTAGTACCCACCAGATCACGTACATAAAAAAAAAAAAAAAAAAAGTAAAATGTGGGAAGGAGGATAGCACAGGGACACCTAACCCTGCACAGTGAGAGCTATGTAGATGCAAAATTATACCGGTCTTGCAGCAGAAGAGAGGTCAGAGTGAGTAGTGCATATAGCGGAGTGCCTCATTAGCATATTGAGAATGGTGCTTAAGCTCATTTCTCCTAAAATAGACATTCCCAATCTTTTTTGCTGTGCCCCCCTTTCTCCATAGATCCTTCCTCCTTCCCCGACGCCTACCCATCCAGGGCAGAAAGTGACTCACTGAGAACAGGTGGCTCACATCTGGGGTAGTTGCATGATCCGTCTGATTCCATCCCAGAGGAACCTGTGGCAGCATGGAGTAGAACGGGATTCCTTGCCCGCCCTCCCTCCCCCATTCCCAGAGCCTCTCACACCCACAGGCTCCAAAGAGTAAATACACAAGGACTGCAGCCAGCCAGGTGTCTGGGCCAGGGCTGGGCAGTAGCAGGGAGAGCAAGCAAGAAGTCCCCAGTGGTCAAGTTGGGAGGAGGGGAAGAGGAGCAGGCTGCTGCCAGGACAGGGTGTGGCTGCGCTCTCCCGCATCTGCTGGAGACTCCCTATGAGTTCTCCCTGCTATTGCCCTGCTCTGGCCCAGACACCCAGCCAGACACAGCCCCACATCCCATCACTTGCTTCCCAGTATCCTCATTGCACCCCCACCCCCACAAGGGGACATGCCCCGCAGTCTGAAAACCAATGTCCTAAAACACATCCATTCTCTCCCTGCACCCCACCTCTGTTTTACCTTGCACTTGGAAAGCTAAGTCGAGGACATGCAGGGGCTTCAGATTGACTTTTGCTCACCACGCTACATCTATTGTTTAACCTTATTTGTGCCCATGTGTAGCCTCTACCTTGTGTTCCCTGCTATGCACAGAGAGCTTGATTCAATGGGTGTGGGATCAGGCTCAGAGAGGACTTTCAGGATCAAAGTTTCAGTGTAGTCAGAGTAAGAAAATATCATAGTTGTGGGGTTTGTTTTGGTTTGCTTGTTTGTTTTTTAAGAAGATATATTATTTTACTTGCGCAGGTAAGAACATCAAGGTAGAAAGGAATACTCAATGTCAGTGAATACACAGCTATGACTAGAAACATAACTGTTCTCGCCTCTGGTTATGAGTATCTTAGTCTATAGTTTCAAAGCATTTCTAAGGCACCCATTACCATAGCATCTAAACCAAACCCTCATGAATGAGTTAAAAAAAAAAGATTATTATTTTGGAAGCTTCTACACTAACACATCAACAGCAGTTAATATTCAATGGCAATTTATTTTGAAATATCACAGGTCATAGGGGTCCTGTCACCCTTACCATTAAGACAATATATTTTGGTAGCTTTTAAAACGTGCATCAAAATTTCTGATTTTGCAAATACAATCTTTACTTTTAGCACACTAAGCAATTTGGAAATACTTGAGGGAAAAGTACAATATACAATTACATTAAAATCAAAGAGTGATCTGATGATATTAATGTCCCTAAAAGCAACACTAAGTATTTTTCCTAGGTTATTCTAGCTCACTTAGCATGTTTTTAAATTTTACTGATCTAGAAGTGATGGAAAGTGACAGCTTTCACAGTCATTTTTTTTTTTATAGCAAATTACCCCTTTTTGACTAGGCTACACAAGAGATTTCATACACTGTGATTGGCTGAGTAACTAAGCAAAAATTTTTCAGAGGTGCATCTAAAGGGAACTAGTTACTTCTCACTAACAGAAAGGGGAAAAAAACACTATAAAGCAATTCAGAATTTTGATACAGAAAGTCTAATGGAAAAAAACCAAAACTTTTTAATAATTTTCTCAATAGGGCAAGTGCTTACATACCATCTGAAGCTGAAATTAAAGCGCTGAATGTATCAAATAGTTTGTCACAAGAGCTGCTAACGCAAGTCGAACAGAATGAAATGGATAACAAAACTGAATATACAAGCGGACCATCCTGCATGCCAATGCAAGGGAATAAAGAAATGTAAATCACACTCTTACTGCCTTGCGCTGATGTGGCATACCACTGCTTCAAGTGCCCTGCTATGTCAGGTTGGCAGGAAGAGGCATGGTCTTGGCCCTGACCCCTCTAGGCTGGCCAGTGGCATAGCTTCACGGGCATACTGGGGAGAGTACACTGCACCAGCTATAGACATGTCAACAGTGTACTCCCTCTACAGCGGGATAAGGCTATCAGAAGCCCCAGAGTTACATCTCCCTCTAGGCTGCTCCAAAGGCTTTGCAACAATGCATCACTCCCTTCCACTCCCCAACCCCACCCTACCTCCCGGGCAGACTGTAAACCTATCACATAGCCCTTAATTATTTAGGCACCAATCCTGCAAGCATGCACACATGGAGTAGTCTCACTGAACTTAAGAGGGCTAATTATGTGGGCAGGTGCAGGATTTGAGTTTTAATTGATCGTCTTCAGGCATTTTAAAGAAAAAACAAGGTACTTAAATACTTTAAGGTAACTAAAATAGAAAAAAAAACATTTTATATTGCCATTTCTGATAAACACTCTCAAAGTATTGATAGGTACCAATCATACTTTATTCCATAAGACCTGATTTCAGAGTCAAAACCATGAAAAACAAAATAATAAAAACACACAAAGATTCTTAACCTTAATTGAGGTTAAATACTACCTTCTTCAGCTGTCTCTCTGCTTCAAGTTTTCCCATGTGGCCAGACAAACCAGTACCTGTGCTGTCTGCTGATGACATTGTGTTAGAGGCCAACCAAAAGGCTGTAGACTCATCTATTAAATGGTGGCTGTCAGCCAGTTTGTAAGTAAAATGGTTGTCACCAGATGACTGAACAACCATCACAACCTACCAAAAAATGAGAAACATGCAGCCCAGCCACCAGAGCTCCTCTTGCCTCTTTGTTGCATGTAATTATCTTTGTTTAAAATCACATGCGGGCCTGAAGAAAGCAACGTGCTTGAATATACACCAAAAATGAAAATAATGATTTTAGATTCTAAGGTCAGAAGGGACCATTGCAATCATCTAGTCTGATCTCCTGGATAGCACAGGCCGTATAACTTTCCCAAAGTAATTCCTGGAGCAGACCTTTTAGAAAAACATCCCATCTTGATTTAAAAATTGTCAGTGATGAAACAATTTACCAAGGGTCACTGTGGATTCTCCAGCCAGTAAAAATTTACACCTTTTTTCCAGTCTGATGTCCAAGTCATTAAAGTAAGTGTTATGTGTGTTGTTCTTTTGTCAATATACAGTAGTTAAGATTATAACCAAGTTACAGTATGATCTGTAGATTTAAATCCAACACACATGAAGGCATGGTCTTGCCTGAAAATCGCTAAATTTACTTCAAATACTAAGGAGAATTATTCTACAAAGTCTGAAGAAAATTATTCTAAAAGTTTCTGAATTATAGGTCATTAACATGTTACCATGCTTTGAAGGGGACTTGTATTTAATGTTACTTTGTAGTCCTCTAATTAAAAAAGTACTTGTTATCAACCCT